CAGCCTTCAACCAGCAAGTAATGCCTTATCTGACATGCCTTTACGTACATGCCCTTGGTTCCTGGTGCAGACTCCAGTAAACAATCTGCAAGACAAATATTTCTGACACACACCTGCTCTGCACCAGACCTGCAGCAGTTCTGTGCGCGACCAAATGACTCGCTCACCAGGACCACCTCCTTAAACACCAGTTTACACAATCTCTGTTACTGAAAGCCCAAGAAAACTGACTTTTCCCCTGGATTCCCCCGGATTCTTCACAGACAGAGCTTGAAGGCCTCAGGGCAAGACTCAGACCAGAATAATTCGGGGGGCAACAACAAGCAAGGAAGCCACATGAAATAAATGTCAAGAGAGGGGTGCTGCTCCTGTCCTGGATTCCCTCCTCCGTCCATGAAGATGTGACAGCACTAGCCTGTGAAAGCACACAGGCACACTAAACGCCCTCCCCACACTGTCTGTACCGATAACTGTCATTTGTCCTTCCCACAGGTGAGCATGGGAGGCCAAGCTTATGAATGTTTCCACAGATACGTGGCACCCCGTGCTTTAGACGCAATACGCAGCACCAGGGGAATCCATCCTTAGGACACTTCGAAGCCATACGGCAAGTGGGCAAGTACAACATCTCCTACTCTGCTCTCCAGCCCCTTGCAACACATCGCCAGCACTGTCCTCTCCCAAGCCCTGCCTCGGGCACCCACCCAGGGCAAATTTATGTAAGGTTGGGTTTGGTCTCCCAGACCTCTGCCTGAGGATTTGCAGTGGCAAAGCTACAAAGGTCAAAAAAAGCCACCCAACCCAAAGAATTGTTAATCAGCACTGCAGTTTTACTGCAGTAATTCTGAAAAGGAGGGATTCCTCTGAACTGTTATACACTTGTCTCCAACCACTGAATCAAACTTATTCCCAGACTTTCTCCTTTATCATATTACTCAGCTTTTTCAGAGTCTTACAAAAACCAGGACTTCGGTGCCTTGCCACCCAGAAACCAAAGGAAGCTTCCACGAAACCAGCAAACACCTCCCATCTTCTCACCAACGTCATTAAAAAAGCAAAACAAACCAGAGAGGTTGTACAAGTCAGCCTATAAACCCAGGCGTGAGGAGAGCAATGTCAGTGGTAATGGGGCAAGAAAGGCAGGATAATTATACCACACCAAAATTGCGATCGTGCTGCATTCCTTTCCGGTGAAAGCCGGCTAAGAATTACATACACCTTTTTAAATCATCAGAGGGAGTGCCTGCAAGATATAAGGTGCTGGGATTAAGATGAAGTTCTGGGTTTGCCAGTTCTCAGCAATGGCTTTGGTGGCTGGGCTGGGCATGTCATTAACTGTTCCCAAACAGTGTTCACACCATGCCACTTCTTAATCTTTATACAATTCTCCATATTTCAAGATTCCCAGGCTCCCATTGAGCTGGATGAACCCAGAATCAGAGGACAATACCTACTCACAAGGTTTTTTGTACTTGGTCAAGCAGTCAAGTTCAGTAACTTGTACCTCAGCATTATTTCAGTGGAGCACATTTTTATCGTATTGCTCCAGCCACTACCATGAGGTCTGCAAGCTCAGGCCCTCAAGCACGAAAACTCAAGAGCTTCCCCATCAAGAAGGCTGGTACAAATACTGAACAGGGCCCTCTTTGTGCGCATGATTTAACAAAGACTGCATGGGTGAGGGAACAGATTTGGCTGAGACCTCTCCCTTTTTCAGAAGAATAAGCACAGGAGCTTTGATAGCAGCTCTCACCCTTGCAGCCCTTTTTAGAGGGGAACCCACAAGGAAGCTGGGTCTCGAGGAAGCTCCTCCGTGGGTGGGGAGGCACAGTTGCTGCCCAGAAATGTGACCCTGCTCCACAGACCACTGGGCAGTGCAGAGATAGGTTGTCCTCTTCTTCTGGAGAACGCCTCCCTGGGAGAAACCACAGGAGCAGCCATCACGCCAGTGGCACACAGAGGCGAAGCTCCTGCTCTGGCTGCCTCACCTTGTTGGCGGTGCAAACAGGATTTTCAGTGTCCTCCTGGGCTGCTACAGGGTGAGAGGAGAATGTGGCACAGAAACAGAAAGGCGCAGATCATCAGTGCCTTAAAAACACACAAACGTCCTCCCCCATCATAACTTCATACTGCAGGTTGTTCCAGTCAATCTTTCCACAGCCAACAAAACAAATATTGCATTTGTGCTAGTTTTCAGGAAACACACCAAAAAAGACAAACACAAGGCAAAGCAGCTAGCCAAATGGCCAAGTCTTGGTATTTAATTATTTTGAAATGCAAAAGTTCAATTAAAACCGGCTACAGAACAAAGACATGATGACCTCTTTCCTCACAAGAATTCATGCTTTGGCACAAAGGACTGGCTGGCTTGATTTTATATCCAACAAATTTAATCTTATCCAATAAAGTGGTTCCCCGTACAGCAGAGAAAAAGATGATGTGTTCTGGAAAGAGCTCTTTGGGCATCATTTAACACTGCATCACTAAATAAAAATAAAAAGCTTAGGGCAATTTCTGTTCTCTCTTAGGGCAACAGAAAAAAAAAGCATAATGCAGCTGGCATCAGCACTGGTGAGGACAGAGGTGACCAGCACTCAGGAGCTGACAAAACCATCGAGCTAACTCCAGTTCCTCGTTGTGGTGAACACAGGAACGTACTCAACTCACCACTCGAAAGCCAACTGTTTCTAATGTGTGATGGTTTCACGTTACTGCAATGTTTACAAATTCAGTCTCCTGGCAGTATTTGAGGAAGGTGCTTTTCCACGCAGTGACAGCTGACACCCCATGTTTTGGCATGAAGAAAACGGTCCAGTGGTTCTCCCATACCGAGACCTGGGCCACAGGGCTGACCGCTGCCTTTGTGTCCAGCTGTGTTAGTACAACTGAAGAAGCCATGACTTCAGCAGGTGACTTCCAGCAGAGCTGTAAGCACAAATATAAGCTTCTATGAGCCACCTCCAGCTGGGCATCCAGAGATGAAAACATCCCCAAATTAGTGGGCACTAATGAAAAAATAACCAAGCTCTAAACACTTGCACAATCTTTACTCACTCTCAGTAGCTCCTGATTTCTCAAATGGCACCACTTACTGGTTGCAAGCATTTCCCAATGGACCGGCACTGTCATATTGAAACCCTAAATATTGCAGTGACTTAGCTTCTTCCACTCCACTTTACACAACATGAGTAATTAATCCTCAGCACACCTCAGAGGAGGAAGGACAGTGACATTCACCAACCCAGCCCAGCGTGCAAGCAAGAGGCACGAAAAGCCAAGTGACCCATGAGAGGTCCTGCAGAAAGCAGGCCAAGCCCAGCCACCCCGTCACATTGCCAAAGGGATGTTCATGCCACCAAATCCCAGCCATGAGGAAGCAAGAAGAAACTCCTCCTCACTTCACACCCCCCACCACCCCAGGACCCTAAACTCATCAACAGGACCATTACAACATGCCGCAGCCGCGAGCAGGGCTGGTGGCCTCGGCCGGAGCAGGGCTGGTGGCCTCGGCCGGAGCTTTGCCGTGCTCTCAGCAGAGCAGGACACCCACAGACACCGCCACGTTGCATAACTACGGACACCGCATGCCAACAGGCGCTCCCGCTCTGCAACGAGCCATCAACAGCCGGCCGGCTTATGCAATTACCGTGTCTCATTAGGAGGCTAGCGGGGAGGATTTCAAAGGAGCTGCTGCCTGACTTGGCCGAGGCTGCGGCTCAGCCCGCAGCACGCTCGGCAGGCGCCCGCTGAGCAAACACCCGG